GCTAATGAGTAGCCTTAAAGAAAGCTTTCTGTGGACAAGCTCCCACCTCATGGATACATAGCTGTTCAAAGAACCAGAGTTAATAGCTTCAAGGTGAAGACAGTGCCAACATCTCATCTTGTTGCAAAGGCAGTTGATATCACATTCAAAATCAGTAGCATAACATTCAGTTTCTAAATCAGGCGCATCTTGATGACAAGCGACAGTGCTAATAGACAAATGCTCGCTGTTTAAGTAAGTAGCAGCACCAATTTTTATGTCACCTGGTGTGATCTCACAACTTTTACCTAAAGAGCGATATGTGGAACGAGTCATTCTACGATTTTGACCAACAATGTTGCCTTGTGTCTGTGTATCACGCTTCAAGTTCTTAGTTTTTCTAGATCGTTTAGATTCAAATTTAATTTTTGGTTCATCATTCCTGGAAGATGAATCTTTTGCCACTACAAGATCGGATGCACAATCAGAAAATGAACTCTCTCTGCAAGTGACCTGCTCATCCCTAGCATTTTCAGGATCAAAGACAGAATTCCTCCACTCAGATAGATTTAGCTTTTCTAATGCCAATCTGTACAAGCCTTTGGCATGAAAATCCTTTGTAAAAGGTTCTTCTCCATTACTACAAGATCTGCGTAAGAATAAATCTCCAAGTTGCAGATTAATGGTAACTTCAAGTGCATACACACATTTCATGCAAGAAATGACTGAGCGGTTATCATCCAAGATTTTCTTAGCACTGAGTAACTCCTTTTCTGCCAGGGCCCAAAATTGTTGTTTCCGGTATAGTTTTCCTGATAAAGTTTCAAAATAGAAAATGAGTTCCTATATCAAAGGTTACAAAGTAGAGGAACAGAATAGAACAACCAACCTAACATGGAAGAAAAAGAAATTTCAAAAAGTGGCAAGCCCTGAAACTGTGAGATGCTCTTCCCCCACCCAAAAAGCATTTCAGCTTCAGACCCATCTCCTAGAATCTCTTGAACAATTCCAACCTGTGATTGACAAGTGAGATAAACTATGAGTTTATTAAACAAATATTATTTCAGATCAAAGTTTCATCAGGAATATTTGAATGGAAAAGTCAATACCTGTAAAACACTTTCAAGGTAACAGCTAAGTACATTCCAAGGAGTAAGAATGCAGCCTTCATAGTCACAAGAAATGCCATCGCCCAACCACCCATTGTTCGTCACTAAATAACGAATTTGAAATGTCTGAATGCAATAGTAACTCTTTTCCACGATCTCCCCATTTTCATCAAAGATTTCAGTCTGATTCTCTGCTGAGTATTTAAACTTTTCGTGCAGAAGTTTACTACGTAATCTATGGGCTTCTTTTGCATATGAAAGAGCCTATAAGATTTGGACGAAAGAAGTTTTACTGACCAACAGAGATGACTAGGTCAATGAAAGCAATGGATTCCTTCGGGAGCAAGAGCAAATATACTTGTGAAACCAAATAGTCCAAAATATTTCAACTGTCGATTATCCATTTTATTTCTTAAATTCAAAAAGCTGCATAAATATGCTTCAAAAAACATGGATCATTCGTTATTAATGTTTGGAAGCAATCTTCATAAAAAGTTATTCCTTTCTCTAAATGTAGAAGAAAAGGTAAAACACCTAATCTACCTGCTCACAATCAACACGGCCCAAAGTAGGTTAAGTAGTTCTAGGAAGTATATGAAATCATTTCATCTGAACTTTATATAAAGTTATATACACACAACAGATAAAAAGAGCTAAAATATAGGCTAGAAGTGATGAGCACCACCTAATATAATTATTCAAAGTTGGAGATACAACTTCCTTCGGCATGACAGTTGGCCTAGTTATTTATTTTACGAAATTCATTCAACTGCAGAAAGCCTTTTCTTCCCATCCCTACTTCCTGATTTTCTTTAAGAAGCGATAGCTATCTAACCAAGTATCCAAGTATTGCAGATGAGAAAAATTCCTCAGAGCCCTCCCAGGGCTACTCTACATTAGGACCCCTTCTTTTAAGCTACTACTTTCAACTATCTTCTCCCATCATGCAGCTCAAAGATTATACTTTTATAAAGTACTGCAATCATATTTGCATGCACACACTAGTAAATGAGCAAAAAAAATTATGAAGCAATTTTTCTTCCAAGGTACCTCAATCAGTTTTCCTTTTAGAATCAGTCTTTCAGACAAGTCATAGTAGAGATGCGAAGAAAGAAATGTTGAGCCACTGCATTGAGGAACCTGCCAAAAGGAATATGAAGGTATTGACCAGTGTGAAGGTGCGATCTCTTTCAGCCTGAAATACAGAAAAATAGTCTATAAATTATTAGAGGTGGCTTACATTGGAAATTAAATCAGAAGCAGCTTTCTTAATATCATCGTCCGTGTGATCAAACCCAGCTAGTAGTGGCTTCAATTCCACAGCACAAGTTCTCCAGAAATCACCAGAGTTGTAAAATTGACCACAATGCTTAAAAAAAGTTCTTATGAAAACATCATTTATGGGTGAAGCACAGAGGGCATGACTGAGCCTTCTGTTTTTCCAGAGTTCAGCCAACATCTTCTCCAGGGTAGTGTTTTTCAGGTTAAACAATTGGATAACCACGTCATACATGCAGGGGTGAATTTCCAAGTATCCCTGGAATAAGCAAAAACAGAAGAAAAATGAAAACTTCACATCAATTACTCCATATACACAAGTATTGGCCGTTACCTTTATTGATAGCAAATCGATGGTTATATAGAACAAATTTTGCACATCTTCGCACATCATACTGCACTGTTCATATGCATGGCCATGATTTCGATTTGAGCAGAGTTCAACTACAGCCTGGATATCTTGAAGAAAGTTACTGTTTCAAACAAAGGACTGGAAAGCATCAAACAACAGGAAGTAACATGTACTCAATCATCAACAGAATTTATAAAACCTGCCAGTAAGAATTTAGCCAATGCAAGAGACTAGCCTTTTATGCAAAAAGGCCTCTAAGTTAGGTTCTGCCTCTTGGGTACATAGTGCACGTATAATGTAGGCGCAGGCCAGGAGATAGTGAACTTGAGAACTGCAGCTTTTATTTTTTTCATAGATAGCCTTCTGCTTATAAAGACATTTCACGTTAATACCATCACTTTATAACATCCAAATGAGGTGAGAACCATGAAAGGAGTGGTAAACAGATAGAAGCGGCCAAGGCAAGAATAATGTATTGATGGCTCACCAATGTGGAAATTGCACCAGACAGACACTGCACGGACTCATGTAGTTGTGCTATTCCATCAGCTCTTAGCTCCCTTCCCTTTTCAATCAGAATTCTGGATTTCTCTAAACACTTATCTTTTGTGACGTAAACCTCTTCCAGAAGAGCATCCATAATTTTCAATCGCATTTTGTGACATAATCTTGGATTCAGAGACCTCATTTCTTTGTACATGAGAAGCTCCTATTAAAATTAAGCAAGAAATGTTGTTGAAGAGGCCATTAAACTCCGAGATAAATATAATAGCTCTGTGTGCACATACTTTTGTACGTAAGTGTGAGTGGGTGTGTCTCTGTGTGTGTGTGTGGGGGGGGGCTAGGGGGGATAGAAGGAGAACCTGTTCCAATAGTTTTTCAAGTGTTCTTTTTGACATTTCCATAGAAGATGAAGCTAAAGAGTACAGCATTGCAACATTCTCTACCTCAACATCCTTCGACAATTTACATTCTCTCTGGAAACAAAGTCACAATCAGATTAGGGAAATAAGAAAACTGCGCCAACGACATGAAGGAGATTTTGAATATTACCTTTATCCAACATTTCACAACAGATACCGGAGCTGGCAGTGTTTCTACCAAATTTTCAGCAACGGACCAGCTTTCAAGGCATTCCCTAATGATTTTATTCATCTTGCAATTACTTCCCTGATTAAGTAAATCTAACAAAAAGGCAGTTTCTGCTGAAGCCTCTTTGACAAAATCTGCAATAGTATCTTCTGCCACATCATCATGAAACTTATTTGATTTGTCCATGAGTGTTTTACAGAGATTTACTGTGCATTTCCATGAAGCTTTGCAACACAACTTTAAAGTTTTTACAGCCTGCATAAGACATAATAATATTGAGTTAGGTAATGCACATTAGTGCAATATGTGCAAGACTCCTGTCATAAATGAATAAATTAGATAATGAAACTGATACAAAAATTTGACAGATTCAAAATGGTCATAATGTAACTACCGAGGAATAGCAAAATTTACATCATAGAATAACTAATATAAACAAATAATTGTGATTTTAAAAATCTTTAAAAAAAAGGCAGTCTCATAAATTAGTTGAGAACAAGGAATGTTGAAATTGAAATAACACTACATCAAATTCGAGTAGAAACAATATCATCAAAATCACTTGGTAATTCCAAAGAAAATGATACTTATTATTGTCAAAAGAAGTAAACAGGTACTTAAATCTAACAAAAAGAAAAAAAAAATTAATATTTGAAATAACATCCCATGTAATGCACTAAATCAGAAGCGTCAAACTTTTATACCTCTTTCGGCCGCTTATTTCTGTTCAAAATCACAGCTACATTGTGAAGAGAAACACAAAGGCACTTTAGCCTCTTGGCTGGAAACCAGTTTATTGAAATAACATGCTCTACTAAAGAGACACTTTCCTGAAATCAGAAATGAGAAATAGATTAGCCGTTACACCTCCTACAATGTCAATCTAAAAGTATACTAATACTACTTGTTATAGTAACCATCTCAAGATATTTGATAAGATTAAACGAGAACCTTGGTATTATAGCCATTTTTGAATGAAAGCACAAGAGAAGCCACAACTACAGAAAATATCAGTCTGCTATCATCATCAGATGTGTCGATCTTGCTTTCAGTTTGACTGCATCTATAT